TATGCTTCGTGAATGCAACATTTTTTCAACATTAGGAATGTTTATATTCCCTTTTGACTTGGTCGTGTTGCACCAGCTTTAAGATAGGCTATATGAATATGACAATGCGGAACAATTGGACAGAATTGCTTCAACGCTTTTAGCTGCAGGTTTTCGTTTGGTGTTAAACTGTTCTGCCAATGAGAGCCTCGAAAAAAATACGTAGTTTTTTACGAGTTCTTAATACTGTTCGCGAATATTCTTACTAGGTCTAATATATGATACTCTTGCTTAGTACAAAATTGTATAAGGCTGTTGGTAAAGCTAGACGGATCACGCGCGGCTCTAGAAGAAGTTTTGATAGGACTTAGGGTCTGAACTCAAAGATGTGGCTTATGCCAAAAACCCTACGAAAACTGCTATTCCAAATATGAACTCATTCCATAGAATTTATTAAAGTCTGCAATGATTTAAGTTCAAAGTCTACTACTCACTTTGTGTGGATGCCAGGCCACAGCGACATTCGAGGCAATTGCGCAGCGGACGAGCATGCGGGGTAGGGAACCACCCTGTCTGATGTCAAATTTTCTCTTGACATGGCTCAAGACATATTTCGCCCAGAAGGCAAATAATAGATAGTCGGAGGAACCCGACGACTAGACAAATCCGGCCCATCCTGGGCAAGAAAAGATCCAACGCACTCAGTCGGTTAGAATGCGCTCTACTAAGGCTGGTGACCGGTATTATTACGGACCACTGCTTAATGGGAAGGCATGCTTGTAGAATGGGTTTGCTGGTCAATGACTTCTGCCGTAGTGGCTGCGATGTGGGCGAATTCGAGAGTGTTGAACATTACCTCTGTCACTGCCCTGTCCTTTCGTGGGGGAGAAGACGTTCATTTCGTCACCACGTCTTTGTCTGTCTGGCCGACCTAAAGCAGGCATTCACAAATTGTCCCGCATTATGAATCTAACCAACGATTTTTAGGTCGTAGCGTTCCGCAACGAAATTATTATTTCAGTTTTAACTCAATTGAAGAAAATAATTATATTGTTACCTCTAAAATTGCTATTTACCAATAAATTTTACAATAAAAATATTATAAAAAGTGCCGAAAAAGGTACTAAAAATGTACACACAAAATCAACCCTGTAGCACACACCAGCTATTCATCTAGTGATTTTCGGCAACTAAACTTTTCAGTGTCTTCTGCAATCCCATACATTTTTGCAACATATTGCATACTTTCAGGCATCACCTAAGAGGAAGAGTGTACTACCACATATTGAAATTAAAGTATCATTAAACTATGCACACTTTTGTATGTATGTACACTACAAATACTCCAGTCGATGAATGTTACAATTTGTTAATCACATACTTTTTTTACTTTAACGATTTTAATTTGAAAACAACATACAAGTGACTTTAAAAAGAGTTTCAAACTAACCAAAACGAATGAAGAGTTACAAAGTCTCTAGACAACTACGTCATTTAAAAACTCCAAAAACTCGCTTTAGATGTGCATTAAATTGAGTATAACAAATTTTCAAAACAAAAGAGATAAACAATTTTAGTTTTGAAATTTGAAAACCAAGAAAACTTGCAATGCGTAATTAAGTATTTGCAAATCAGAGATGAAAATGTTTGTATTAGAGTTTTTAGTACCTTTTTAATAATTTTTTTTTTAAACATAGTTTTCATTAGATTGATTTTCTTATAACTTTTAGTAATATTTAGTCTTTCATATAATTGTTTTTGTTTTTGTTAAGTTTTCTTCTTTTTCGTTTTTGCATTATTGAACTTGATTTATTTCTCATACTTCAGTTAGTTCAGTTGTTATAATTATTTGCTTATTATAATGCCATTGCACATACAGTTCATACTAGTTATATTTTTTAGTTTTTATCTTAATACATATATATTTATATACATTTCATCATGTTCATTTTCATCTATATACTCGCATGTAGCATAGATGTATGTACTTATGCTGTTTTATGTGTATGTGTATATAATATGTATATATGTATGTATATTAGATTATTTATGTATACATGTATATAGAATAACACCTGCAATGCTAACAATTTGTTTTCTTCATTTTTACACGTTTCATTTATTTATATACATACACGTGTATGTATGTATGTATTTTTTGTTTGTTTGTTTTAGTTTTCAGTGTGAATATGCATTTCGCTAGAGCACAAGTCATGAATCTAGTGCTGGTGTTATACATGCATACATATTTACAGCTGGAAGAGATGCACGTAGATTATAGGAAACGCGTTGAAAATGCAGGAAATACTTTTAATTTAGTGTGAAGAAAAATTGGAATATTTCGCAATGACTATGATTTTTTTTTAGTGGAAAATGCCTAAGAAAAGGTCAAAATGCAATATTTTTTTAATTTAAACAAAAATATAAAACTATAAAAATTTCGGAAATTTTCCGAATTTCCAGGAGTTGTTCGAAATGTTATGTACGTTAATATTTTGAATAAAGACGAAAAATTTAACAACATTTAGGGAATAGTTAAGCTAACATATTTAGTGTACAATTTTAATTTTTTATTCAAGCTACTTTCGGAAATTTCTTAAAAATTTTGAGTTATTGCGAAAAGTTCTTATTTTGTTTCAGTTTACGTACGTCAGGTACACACGTACATACAAAGGTACACACACAGAAAATATTCTTAAATAGAACGAAAGGAAGGCTTTTGAAATACCTCCAGCTTATTATGAGTGTGCCTGAGTAGAGTAAATGTGTAATGAAATAGATATTTCTTTTAGAATCATTTTTGATCGAAACGGAATTGAAGAAATTTAAAAATATGCTTAGCAAAATATGCTAAAGTGTTTTGAAAATTTCGGAGTCTTTCGGAGTTTAATCTAACACTTGCAGGTGAACTCGGAAACTTATATTTCTTTAAAAAATTTAAATTTTGTTTAAAGTAATTTTAAAAAAATGACAAAACAAGAGAGAGATCGGAAAATTTCGAAGGTTATACAACACATGCAATAGCACTCCGAATAATACATTTTTGTTAAAAATAACTATTTTGTTCCAACTAAATAAAAATTATGCTTTGTAAAACTTGCGAGAAAATTCCGAAGTTTTCGAAGTGTTTTGTATACGTATATTTCTTTAAAAGGCTAATACATTTTTGGCGGAAAATTTCGGAGTATTTTCAACACTTGCAAAAGAGATGACACGAACCAAAACTTTTCTTTGCAAACCTATCTGTAAAGTTTTGAAATTTTCAGTATCCTTCAGAATTTTTCCGGAATTTATTTTAAAACTTGCAAAAGAATTTCGCAACATTGTATTTCTTAAAAAAAAAAAAAATTTGGTTTAAGGTAATTAAAAAATAGAATTTGCACAACTAGCGAGAGAGTTCGGAAAATTTCGGAGTTTTTTCAACGTTAGCAAGAAAATTCCGAATCACAAATTTCTGTTAATAAATTTTTTTCAACTAAAATATGCTTTGCAGAACTTGCGAGAAGACTCTAAAGTTTTCGGAGTCTTTCGGGAACGTACATTTCTTTAAAAAAATTTACTTTTGTTTAAAGTAATAAAAACATATAATTTGCACAACAAGCGAGAGAATTCGGAAGTTTCGGAGTTTCATCACCACTTGCAGGAGAATTCCGAATCACAACTTTCGGTTAAAAAAATTTTTTTTTTTAACAAACGAAAAATTTGCTTTGCAAATCGTGCGGCGAAAATTCCGAATTTTTTTAAGTCTTTCTAGGTTTTTTCGGAGAAATGAGTTTTCATATCTTTGCCACAAATTCAACGCATTTTTTTTTTTAATTTTCTCGCTAAGCCAATTAGTATTACACCTTTCATCTCTTCAATGTTTGCTACTACCGAGATCCATGACTTTGGGGGTGGGTAAACGATTTGTTTGTTATGCTAGAGCGCAATGCAATTCACACCCAGCTGCTTTTTGGTTATCTGCGTTTCGTTTCATATATTAGTACATATTTCGTTAATTGATTTTTTATTTAATTTTACATATGATTTTTGTCCTAACACTCTTTTTACAATTATTAATTTTAGTAATTACATTAATGTTAAACACATTTTACCATTAATTTATCAGTTATGCTCTATGTATCTCTGTATGTATGTATATACGCTTTGTGTTTTTTTTTGTTTTTGTATAATATCTGGTTTAGGTTTTAATATTAATAATAGTAGCTCTGTTTTTGTTTTGTAATAATTTTTAATAATAGTTTACTTTATAATAATTTTAATAATCATAATAATTAATAATCAGTAATCAGTAATTTATAAACATTATTTAAGTAATAAGTAATCATAAGTTTAATCATAATGCATATGCATAACATTAGGTTTTCTTTTAGTCCACGTGCTTTTTTTTATTAATTTTTTTATTAGTTGAATAAACGTTGTCTACAAACATATTTGTAAATATGTATGTTTGTCAGTTGTCGTTTTCTCTCTTTTGTGGTACTATTTGCATACTTTTTTTTAAACACACAATGAATGTCTGTTGTCTTTTTTGTAATTTACATGCTTGTATGGTCAGTTTCATTTTGGGGTTTTGAATGTTTGTTTTCTTTAATTAGTTTTTTTTCGCTATTTGCCTATTATTTAAATACTTTTACATACTTATGACAGCTTTTTACAAACAATACTACTTTTTTGTTCTTTACGTCCATTCCTGCATGCGCCCTTCCCCACTGATTCTTCGTTCGCATCTTTACTCTTCAGTTCTCACATTTAGGTTGCCATTTGTGGTGTATGTATGTATGCAGGTGTCTCTAAGTGTGTGTGGTTAGTAAGTGAATGTGCTCATCAGACCCTTTCATTTGTTCACTTCAGCACTGATTCATTTGTTTGGAATGATTTTTGCAGGAATAATTATTTTTTTTACGAAATTCGGGCTGTTCTTTGATCATTGTTTTTTAATTATTCATATGCGGTGGTGATGATCGTTATTGTGTATTTTTTTTCGAGTTTTCTTTGGATGTTTGTTTATGCTGTTTAGCTGTATATTCGTGTTGCTTTCGTAAGTGTGTTTTTGTTTTGTTTGCATTAATGCATAGGAAGGCGAGAGTTATGTTGTGTTATTTTGTTGTACAATATGTGTGGTGGTTGTTGTTATTGTTTAACGCCCTCGCGCCCAACGCAGTAACGCATCCGCTAACACATCAAGATGGGCTTTAACCTGTAAAAAGCACAAGGAGAAAACATCGTATTTAGTAGGTAATAATTAAAATTACTTAAATGTACAACTTTGTAAAAAATAGGAAAACTTGATGTGTTATCTGTATCTGATCGCACGTAAGAAGTAAGAAACCATTCAAGTTTCAAGGGTACTAATAGACATAGACCGTTTTGCAGTATCACCGACGATAAGAAGGATAAGATTGCATAACAAAATAACTACAAGGTTTTTCTGAACATTTTCGGAATACCAGCAAATCATGTTGTCACAATCAGAATTGATCACCCTACACTTCTCATTGAATTGTGCACTTAGAGGGAATATATTTTTTTGGAGTATTTCGGAGTAACTTTAAATCGCATTTCTATACTCGTAATTTACTAGGTACCCCATGCCTTTAATTGAACTTCATATGAATTAAAATATTAACTTTTTTCGGAGTATTTCGGAATAGCCATTTATCGAATAATTACAATCACAACTTACTACACTATACGTTTATTTGACTTTGGTAAAAATTTAAATATTAACTCCTTTTCGGAGTATTTCCGAGTAGCCTCACATTGCATTGTTATAGTCATAACTTACTATCCTGCGCCCTTAATTGAGTTTCGTGAAAATGTATCTAAACATTTTCTACCTAACGTATTATCTAATTCACGCTTGGAAAGGACCTTCTATGTAGTATTTGCCAAAGCTTCTTTAGTGATAAGGTCCATTACACGCTTGAGAGCCATAATAATAACGAAAATTGGTGACTTTGATGAAAGAAGATGGAATAACGTACTGTACCAGGAGGACGACTCTGCGGAGAAAATATCCTTATACTCCGCACGCTTGGGCGGACGACGAAAGCAAAGGCCCACGAAAAAAATGGAAGGACCAAATGCAGAAGGACCCGCCCGCACTTAGGATGAAAAACTGAAACAAAACTGCAAAGGAGAGGGGCATCTGGCGAAGCTTCTTGGTCTCGTCCCAAACCGATAAACTGATATAGTTCCAAATAAGAAAAAGAATAAGGTGAAATAAGTAGCCGCAAGTGACTGCTTAGAGACAGTTCATTGTGGAGCGGTAGCATACTTTGTCCGTACTTATTCGAGAACTACGAAGAAGCTGCAGAAATCGGCAATTACCGGTGCAATTGCGCCATGATTAATAATTTTTTTTTTTTTTTTTGAAGTTGAAAACATTCAACTGCACAAAATGTGGTTTTAACCAGTTGGGGAGCTATATGCCTTACATCGCGGCCAGTTAAAGCTCTACGGCGCGAGAAATTCCCAGAATGTGTAGTTTCCGGGAAGTGGCTTTGCCAGCAATATCATGCAATTTAACGACTTTGGATTTAGTTTTTCCATTTCAATGTTATCGTTTTCAACGAATAATGGGCTAGTCCAAACTTTATTTTAAAATAAAAATGTTTTCTTTCCATAGACTAAAGGAATCAAAATTAAGGGGGCTGGCGAACTACGATCGCACGGCAGTACTGAATGTAAATAATAGTGGACGGCGTAACGGAATCAATGCCGACTTAGATGTCGAAACTAATTACCTAACGTCACCCTGGGATTCTAGTCTTTTGTTCCATACATTTTCCAACTAGGATGATAGTAATTCCATCTACATCGATGGCTCAAGGCTGTAAAAAAAAGTCGGCTCGGATCTACGCTACAAGGACCTACATATAGGTCAATTATATCGTCTGCCTAGTAATTGCTGTGTCTTTCAGGCGGAGATCTTTGCCATATAGAAAGCGGGAACGTCACTATATACCTTCACAGGCCAGATCCTTTCGGCCGAAACTCAATAAGAGTCGTCCTGAAGCATTATTGACGGTAAAAATTTGCAGTAAGATCTCTTACCGGCGCGCCGTTACCACAGAGCACTGCGTTATACTACCAATGCTTCATCGATGACGTATACTAACAAACTTAAGTTGCAGAAGTTGTCGGGATGAGGAAGAAGAGGAATAGTTTCATCACATCCTACTCCAATGCCCATCTCTCTAGGCAAGAGGTCGCAAGCATTTAGGATCAGGCTTTTTAAATAGTTTGGGGGAGATGGCGTAAGTATAAATACCGCAGCTGCACACCTTCATCGGGGATAGTAAATGGTTCAACAGACAATATGGAATAACTTCGGTTAGAAGGATATTCCTCCCCCTGGCAGTCATAGAGGTTATTCACAATGGTCAAGCTTGTCTCCTAGTAGAAGTACGACTCATTCGTGCATACATATACTTATACGTATGTCGATACAATATTAACATACCGTTTTGTAGAACATACACGATCTCCGATCTTCATCCTCACCCTCCGGACAATCGATGAATCCATCGCATAGCACATGATCGTCTATGCACCGATACCGACCCTGCAGATCGGGTGTGGGACACGCAAAGCGCTCCATGCCATCCATAGCGGCGGGACATTCTAGAACGAGATACAAACGATAAAGAATGATTAGGAAAGTAAATTAAGGGGTTTAAAAAGTTAAAAATAAAAACATAAATATAAATTTTAAATTAGCGTAAAGGTAAACAAAAGTTCTTATATTTCACGAGCATTTGTAATCAACTTTTAATAAACTTTTCGTTGGCCGAGAAACTTGAAACTTTACGGTTGGCACAAAACCCAATGTCAATGCAATAAGAAATATAATTTAATGCGCATTTAGTATTTAGTTCATATTAAGAAGGTATATTAATTATATGAAAAGGAAACCCTCCATAAAAAATTCTGCCGATAGGTGGCGCAGGAGTCGAAATATTTGGTAAACCAATATTTATGGTCCGATTTCGTTCATATTTAGAAAGTTTGCGTTAAAAATATTTTTTTTTGCTATTAACTTATTTTATTCTCTTGTTACACTTTCTCCCTAGAAAATCAACGAAAACAGAAGAAATGTATAAAATTTTAATGGGAAACTGTCGTACGAAATACCCAATATTAGGCCAACCAACGAGCGAGTGAAAAGTAGTAAATACTTAGTTAGTTTTAAGATATTCTTTTTCAGCAGGAAATTATGTATTCGGAAGTGTTTGGTTCCACATTTGACATGTATACATAGCTCTGGACCTGTTGCTCAGTGTTTCTAGTAATAAGTCTTTATTGTATAAAGCAGGGATCACCCGATTTGTACATTTGTACAAATTTGTACATTTTGGCAGTCATAGAGTGCGGTTGTCTAGAAATAATATGTTCAGCTCATTAACAACTTTCCAAACAACACCACTATTTAACTGTGAAAATGTACAAATCTGTACAAATGTACGAATCGTGTGATCCCTGCTTAAGCTTAAAAAAAATTCTATCATGTTTCCACACATGAATGAAAAAGCACATACATATGTATGTATGTATTAATGTTTGTATAATTTTATATCTGTACAAATTTACATGGTGACATTTGTCTTAGCAGCTTGCTGACCTTTTACATTTGACGTCAGTATTTAATTGGATGCGGCGAATAGGGTGTTGTACTTACAACGGCGGAGGGGTAAATGATCTATTTTAAAATGAGCGTATGCTTCTATAAATGTATTCAGTAGGCATGTTCACACGAAGGGCTTTTCACGTCAAAGGTCTCGTTGAACGTAGTGAACGTTAGCAGGTTTATTTTTCTCAATACTCCTAAGGGTCATTCCATGTATGGGAGAATCACGAAATAAATTTTAAAATACCTTAATTATTCCTATTTGAGTAGTAATTTTTACTATCTACATTTTATTAATCTGTTTAAGAATGTTAAAAAAAGAAGCTGTTATTTGTGTTTATGGAGACTTTTACTTCATACAAATTTACTTTACAGCAGTCAAAAGGACCTACACTGTACATGGGAAAATCTCACAAGTTGTTTTTTTTTAAGTGTCACTTCCTTAGCTCAACAGAAAAAAGAACACGCTAAAACGTTCTTCGTGCATTTATTTCAATTAATGGAGTTCCAGACAAGCACAATAAAAAAAAATTATTTGGACAATTTTAGTCTTCGAACGGTTATTTATGCGAAAAAAACCGAAATGACCACTTGTTTTATTGTAACTCCAAAAAATCGCAATTGCTTCTTGATAACTTTGGGAAGTTTTCAAATAGAATGCTCATATTAGAGGCAATCAAAGTTGGCATCAAATACAGCATATCTGTGAAGTTCCATTAGTGTGCCCCCAAATTGAAAAAATGGCAGCATGCAAAATATCCCAGCTGCTTTAAAATTTGTGAAATTTTATGATTTTTGATTTTATATTAATAATTTAAGATACTTTAAAGTAACAACATAAAATGGCGCAAATGTTCTTCTTGACAAAACGAACGAGCCGACGAACGAACGAAAGTAATAGATATGGTCACTAGACACGAATAAAGGCGCGACCTTAAAAGTTGACCGCGAAAATAAAAACTTCAGCGAGAAAGTTGACGGCGAAGAAAGACGCCTTAAAATATTTGACGGCGAAGAAGGACGCGAAAACTTATTTTCGCGGTCAACTATGTTTGCGGGTGTAATAGTATGTACATTCCGTACATAGTTTTTGGGGAATAATGCTGAAGTGACAATCCTTGGCCAAGCATAAATCTATGATTACGGGTCTCTCTTCGCCGTCAACTAGGTTACAAGTCTTTCTTCGCCGAAGTTTTTCTTAAGCGCATTTTTTCATAAATTTTTTTTTGTGCACCGTCGTAACGCTAGCGCGCCTTTATTCGTGTCTAGTGACGATATGTATGTGCATAACGAATACTGTGTAAAAATCTTCCGCGCGAATCGTTAATTACTTTTAAGTTGAGACGTGTGAGTAAACATGTTAGTAGACTGCTTATGGTGCTACGGGGCGTATACGTTACATACGCAACTATGGGTATATGAGCAGGAGTGGTTATATTTACTTTTTTTAGTAGGTATATTTTTTCAAACTTTCATTCAAATACATTTTCGCGTTGTAATCTTTTTCTTTACGCAAAATTGAAGATAATGCATTTTCTAAGATAAGTGTGCCTACATTTTCAACCAACACTTTTTTGTCAAAAAATTTAACAACTCCTGAGATTTGCTCATATACTAGTATTTTACAACACAAAAAAAAAATCGCTCGAAAATTAAGTGTTTTGGCTAAAATTTGCACTTCAGTGCACAACGTCACAATGGAATTGCCCCTTAGTAACTCAAAGTAACACAATCAAGTTTATTTTTTTTTTGTCTTTTAATATAAATATATTTTTTCGGCACCATCTCTTGCAATAATTTTTCAACATTTTTTCTCAATTACTTTGTTTCCCCTCTCTCTCTTGCTTTCTCTCTCTTCAATATCTAGCATACTTTTTTAGTCTCACAATAGCCTGCGTGTCATTTGGTACATAACCTTGAGCAAGCTGAATGTGAGTGGTAACCAAGCACACGTCCACTTAATCATTCTTATTCAAAATATCAAGCGTCACAGCTGTAGTAGTAAGCTAGTCGCGAGGGGCAAACTACTGCATTTAGCACCAAAAAAAAAGCCTTCAGCACTACTAGCCGCTACAATACCACTCACTGCTTGCCTGGCGGACGGCTTGCTAGACTGTTTATACGAGTATTTAAATGATGGCGCGTGTATGGGCATGTCTCCATTCAGACAGCACACATAATGTACATACATATGTATTTATTAGTACTATACAGTATTGACGCAAGTTCGTACGATGTTTTTTATTTGTTAATATAGTTGTTTTGCAAAGAAAAAATGTAAAATTGTGTGCATAAATATCGTGCAAATGTGGAGGTTTAATTTTTATTATGACCTGCTTAAGCGATTTCCATGAGAATGGGCAAGGTCAGCGGTCAAATGGTGTCAAGTGGGGTTACTACTCGCAATAACTGAATTGTTTTGGTGTCCGAAAGTTTTGAGTAAGATATGGGAATTTTACTAAAAAAAATCTGCGTTTAGGTAATGACGGGTGAATAAATTTTAGAGCGTCAGCTAATTTAGTGACAGACTGCTTTGGTGTAAGTAGATGTAAAACTATTTGCAGATGTTTCAGAAACCTTAATCGGATGGTTTTCCGAAATAAATAATTCTTATGGAAGATCTTTCATGTATTCAAAAGAACATATGCATTGTCCAAGCATCAGAAGAGTTCAAGAGATTGCAAATTTTATTAGTCTGAAAAATTCGGAGTTCTCATTTAACCTGAATTTATTCAAAAATTATTAATAGCACAGAAATAATACAATTTCTAAAAAAAAGTACTCCGAAAATTTCGAAATCTTTACAATTTTGCTGTAAAAGCTGGTTTATTGAAACTAGACTAATGTAATAAAATAAAGCAGCATGCAAAAAGCAAAATCACTCAGTACTTCGTGATTCTGAAATTTCGGACTACTTCAAATTGTTATTTTTTTGTAAACTTATTATTTTTTTATAAATTTACAATCAGTTCAGAGTCTTCCAAGCTTTAACATCGTTAATATCGACAGAACCAACAAAAACTGCAAAAAAATTGTCCGAAAATTTAGGAGTCTTTAAAATTTGAATGATTTAATTTTAATGCAACACACAAAAGAGCAAAATCACTGAGCAAATTTTAACTCCAAAATTTCGGAGTACTTGAAAATATATTTTTTTGATTAACGAACACACGTTCGCTACATTTTTTGTTTTCTGTACAAAAATTTAGACTCCAAAAATGTCGCAGAACAAACGAATCAGAGTCGTTCAAACTTTATTCGTTCATACAAAAATTTTGGCCTGGGAATACAAAAAGCTTTTTGCATTTTCACTCCATGTACAATAACACTGGTTTACAGCAAAAATGTTCAATGGATGCCACTGTCCAATTTCTATGTAGAATTGCTCGATGATTCCGAAAATCGAGCTATTTTTTTTTGCTACGTATACGTTTTCGAGATATTTGCAATTTACCGTTATTCAGCTCCAAACAAAAAGTGTTTCAACTGAATCTTACGAACCAATTCAACAATCATAAAACGAGGTACGTCAAATCAAAGCTAATAAAATTCTCCATAAAACCCACATACATCACTAGGACCGATAGGACTTATAATTTCTGACAAATTAATCATTCAATTTTATTTTTTTTTATTTTTTAATGAAAAAAAAATTTAACTTTAACAGAAGAAAACTTTAAAAAGTAACAGGTTCTGTGCCAAAGTTTTGCACTTGTGCTAAAGTCTGTTCTGTTAAAAAAAAAATCAAGTTACTAATGAAGGAAAGCGAGTGATAAATAGAGAAGTAATAAGTGGTCAAATGAAAATACGCAAAGATTTTTTGTATGAAAAATGAGCAGAAAAAAAGTTACTCATACGCCACGTACACCTGAGTAATACGCTTTTCTGCTCATAATTAACGCGATTTTCGAAATCACCGAGCAATTCTACATATAAATTGGATAGTGGCGTCTAGAGAACAAAAACCAAACTAAAATTTGTGATCCAGTGTAATTAG